CATTCGGTAGATTATTATAGGCCTGCCAGAATGACCTTCCATTTCCGCCGTTGTTAGAAAAAGTCATGAAAAAGCACATCATGCCACACTTGGATATCTATGGGTTATTCCAATTAATCAGCATGGGTTTCTTCAAGGACGATTTGTTGAAACCAACCTCTTAGAAAGTATCAATGCATGGAGCGACTACCTTGATAACAAAAAAAAATCGTGTGACATAATTTATTTCGACTTTTCCAAGACATTTGATAAGGTTAATCATTCTAAGCTCGTAAGCAAGTTGGTCACCTTAAGTTGCATCCTCTTACATGCAGTTGGATAAAGCAATTCCCTTTTGAGAGAGCTTTCCAAGTTCGTGTTGGATCTGTTTTTTCGGGACGGAAAAAGTCACAAGTGGAGTTCTTCAAGGTGGGGTACTATCTCCTATATTTTTTGCAATATACAGCTGAACTCCCTAACTGGCTTTAAGAATGTGGAGTTGTGTGCAAACAATTTGCTGATGACATTAAAACCTAAAGGATGATTGTAAGTGAAGATGATATAATAGTGACTCAAAATGCCTCACATGTTATTTCTGAATGGCCCAAACAATGGAACTTGTCGCTAGCTCCTGAAAAGAATGTGTATATGAGAATGTCTAGTCTGATACAATCCTATCAACTTGACGATCGTTTTTTCAAGAGTGTTTCTGCTGTCGAAGATCTTGGTTTTCATTAGGATAATAAGCTCTGCTTCTCCCAACATTTGAAGATGTTATACCAGAAAACTACTTATCGGACATACCAAATTTTTAAAGGTTATACAACTAGTGATGAGGATCTCCTTGTGAGGGCTTATAAAACGTACATCAGGCCGCTTGCGGGGTGTGGAACATCAGTATTTTGCTCTCATAAGAAGGAAATTCAGCTATTTGAAAAAACTCAAAATAATTTCACCCTTGAAATATTCATCAGATCTGAAGGCCATAATCATTCAAGACAACCTTATGTGTCTTGTAGGGAGAAAGAGTGCAAATTGCACACTTTTTGTTCTCGTAGAAGACATTTTCATGTGTGTATGGTCTTTAAGCTGCTGACTGGTATTGCTAGGATTGACGCGTCTAAATTCCATGTCATGATCAACTCTTGAAGTAGAGGGTGGTCAATGAAAATATCGCGTGCCTAAAACGGATATAGAGCGGCATAGCTTCACTTGTCGGGCAAAGTCTGAATTGGCTGCCTTCATAGTCCGCCGGCGTGCGTGCTGGCGTGCCGGCGTGCCGAGGCAGTGCTAGGGGGGAGGAGGGAGGCAGACGGTCGGACGACGCGGTCACGTCGCGCCCAAGCCCCTTCGAAGTGCTGAAAACAAAGAAAAACAAGACCAAAAACCATATGCATAAGCCACTGGTTGTTTGGTTTTTGATCTTATTTTTCATTGTTTCCAGCCCTTCGAAGGGGCTGACCGACCGTCTGCCTCCCTCCTCCCCCTAGCACTGCCTCGGCTCGTCGGCACGCCGGCACGCACGCCGGCGGACTATGAAAGCAGCCAATCACGTTTCTCAAAGCCAAAGTAATGATAATGTCTCCTGCCTTTCGATTTTTCAAGCCCTAAGTAAACTGGAACTGCTACGTTTTAGTGAGCACTAGTACATATAGGATTTGTCTGTAACTTTAGTTGTGATTTGTTAACCTTATTTTTCTTGCGTTTGCCTTATGCACAACGTTACAAATCCTCCATATATAAAGCGCTAACGTTGTGTGTCCGTTAATATGCCCGTTTGTGTGTCCTCCCAAAAGTCACGTAGGCACGATCAAGGGCGTGAAGATCACAAGAGCGCGGTGACAAAACAGTTACGAAATGGAAAGTCAAGCGATGCTCTTTATATTGGTCCGTTGGTTGAAATCCATTCCATTTATGACGTCACGGACTAAAAATCACAACTCGCCTCAGGACAATCAAACCTCTAGGAACTAGAGAAGGTTAGAATGGAAACAATTCCACGACCACCTATTAGTGTCAAGAGATCAACACCCACAAAGCTGCATCAGATTGTTCAAATTGGGGAATATCACCTAATGGGGAAACGGTTATGAAAAGGGAAGTCAGCCGATACTGTTTGTATTGGTCCTCTAACAAGTCGTAGGTAAGCGGTAGTGGGCATAGCATAGTGCACGCGTTAGTGTGCATAGCCCAATCCTCTACATATATAAAGCGCTAACTTTGCGTGTCTGTTTGTATGCCCGTTTGTGTGTCCTCCCAAAAGTCACGTAGGCACGATCAAAAGCGTGAAGAACTCAAGAGCACAGTGGGGAAGTAGGTCGCAGGCTAACCAGTTTTTTAGAAAAGAGATAATGTAGGGTAGGAAACGTTTTACATTGGCATCCGTTGGTATCAGGCATCATCGAACACTCTGCTAACTGTTTTCCATTACTTCTCTGATGCGCAATTAAATAATGTTTTGGGGTATCAATCAATCCCGTCAAAAGTACCCCGCGCATTCGACTTCCATTTAGAATCGTAGTGGCAATGACTTGCAGTGGGGATGTACAAGTCAGTGCTTCTCTGCACATCCGCCCGATCGCAGTTTCCTATAATCAAACTAGAGCGACATTTTCAATTTCAAAAGCAGTGTCGTTCATACGGAACATGAAAATGTTTTACTGCTCTTCTCGAGTAAGATCGTAGATGAGCGGTTGTGGACCTGTGGTGCACACATGAGCGTGCGTAGCTCACTGGTAAATAAATTAGGAGGCAAATCGTGAGATCCCTCAGCTCCGTCCAAAGAAATTTGAAGTCTACAGAG